ATGTTATTATACGTAAAATAAGCCTCAATTTAAGGTAAAATTCAACCACAAACGCTTCGCAAAACGTTTTAAAGTCATTAGACCACTAGTGTTCTTTATAAAACTAAACTGCCGTTTAAAATGGCTTTATCGATCAACTTTGAGTTTGCAATAAAATGATTTCAAATTCTCGCTTGCAACTGATAACTTTGCTTTCTTTTTTATTTATTTAAAAAATTCAATATCATAAAAAAGGGACTCGATATTAAAGATACACTGAAATTATATGCTGTCTTGTTTTAATAGTTGTTTCATATACGCAAAGGCCGTCGGGTTTTAAAGCCATTATAAAATCAATATTTAAAACAAACTTACCTTCGGTAACGTCGGCTCCCTTCTTTTAGCCGATTCTTTCGCAGTTTCTTTCTGAGAGAGCTTTTGAAATTTACAAAATCTTGCAAAAATGCGAGCAAAAATGAAATATATTTGCAAAAAATTTAATTTATCAATCATCAAATCAAGACTAAATGTTTGCTATTTCGCTGTCGTCATGCAGTCGTTATATGCAAACTTTAAATTGGACCAATCAGTGTCCGCTATTCATGACAGTCTGCCATATTTTTGAGATCAGTGAGGATGACCACCCACCCAACACCCCAACATCGTTGGTGACCCACGCCCGCGATAATTGATAAACTTTAGACTTCGCTAATGCGTGTTAAATATTTTCGTTAATTCTTAGTTAATTATGTAACCATGACGACATTGATTAGAGATAGAGACATTATTTGCATGCCAGAAATATAATCCGTGATATATATATACCTAAATTGACAGATTTAGAGTCAGTGTATGTGTGTGATGTGATGTGAGTGAGACAGTGAGGGATTGAGACTCGAGAGCCAAAACTGGGCGTGTGATTGCGAATATACTTTTTAATAAAACTACAAAAAGCTTGTGATTTGTGAATAGTGTTGCGACTACATACTTTATTTCCGACACTAAGTGGCACCTCCGACGGGATTACGTACGTTTTAAACATGACTGAAGGAAGCGAGGATGTGAAACTAGTGGCAGATCTTAATGCCAAATTAAAACTGCTTAAATTTACACGGAACAAAACTGGCTCAATTACAACTGGTTCTATTATTACTGCTATGGAACGTCACCTTAAAGCGTTGAACACTGTGCTAGACGATGTAGATGGACTGCGAAAAAATGTTGAACAGTCTAAATTCGAAAAGGGCGAAGAACCGGAGGCGGTTGCAGAATGGGGCGCAGAATTGGACGGGGAGATTGGGAAAACAGACGAAGTCATAACTGCACTCAAGAATGCCATCACTGAGGTAAGATCCAACCAAATAGGTAGAGA